AACCATTGCTATTACATTCATAAGTTGAGTATCCCGTGACTGACTTATTTGTTATAGTCTGTACTTTGTTTTATATTTTATGGCAGGAAAATCCCTTTAGACGACGAATCTGTGAAGTTTTTTCACCTGACGGGGACGGCAGCTTGACATTTGACGATTTCCTCAACATGATGTCAGTACTGAGCGAGTCAGTAAGTTCGTATTGCACGGGACCATGTTTAGAGCAGTTTTTCCTCTGCGGGTCGTCAATAATCTGTCCATGATTACTTTAGTTGGTTTTCTTCTTTTAAGCCTTGTGATTGGTTAAAGAGAATTTACATACGTCACTTACGCAGCCAATCATATGCAAAGCCATCACCAGTCCTGGCGTGTTTTCCCGCTGCTTCATTTTGTACGTTTGCTTCGATATTCCACAGGTTTCCACGGATTTTTTCTTGTTCTACCATAGTTCTTCTCCAATTTGTTGTTTATTATGTTTCTATCGTTACTGTGGTTGCCGCTAACGAATCAGTATATTGTTAATAACGATAATAATGACTCCTGGTTTTACTGGAGTCTTCACGGCAGGGTCTAAATTTAAAGTGAAAAGATTTTTCTCCTGATCTGATCTTTCCACAGGCTCCCAGAGAACTCAAGACAAAATACGCGTTCAAGATATTTGGTAAAGTTACTAAATGACCTGTCGTTTCACCGTTTGTTTATCATACGCTGTGAAGACCTCACTTCAATGGATAACTAGTGGATTTGCACCTTATGTTTCTGTGTTATGTATTCACCACACCCACATTCGTCCCTACATTTCTTGCAAAACTGCTGACACGGCAGTTTGCGATTATCTTTGGAACGGCCTGTTTTCACATGTTTATACTTTTTGTATTCATTCGTTATTTCTGCTCTCTCCGTCTATCAAGACTTTGATCAGGACGACTACCTCGGCAAGGAAGATCTCAAACAAACCTTGCGAGCCATCACAGCTAATGAACTTACAGATGAGGAAATGGAGTTTGTTTCTGATAAGGTATAGTCATAAGCATTTCTTTTTTTAAGAAATTTGAAAAAGCTTTTAGCGCAGTTTCCTC